CCAGTAGTCTAGCTTCCATTCCATTCCAAACAGCAGTGGCAGGGGTATTCTGTTCAGTCAGGCTTCTACCCACTGTTTGCAATGACCACAAGGCCAATTGTAATCCACATAACATTTCTGGAGGTTTTTTTAAAATATACTAAACAATTGTATAGTGACAAGACATGTGGGATGGATGAGATTATGAAAGGATATAGACACCAAAGGTCTGATAACATTGAGGAAAACCCAGCCACAAAGCCAAAAAAAAGTAATTTCACAGGTTAAATTAGTTTCTGAAGATTTGCTCTCTATTCTTTTTTAAAATATCTTTATTTATTTTTTTTACAATGAGACACAGTATCCCTTTGGCAGCACGAATCCCTGTCTGGCCAGAAAGTTGTTAAAACTTTTCCTCCTGAGTGTCAACCAATTTGGTCCTGAGTGACAGGGTCAAATTTCAGATTGCCCCAGACCTGGAACTGATTTCCCCTTTGAAAATTTGTGTCAGGAGCCTGGTCTCAGAAATCCTGAGATAATATTTACTGAAAGTACTCAAGGCTGGAACAAATGCAACTGTTCTCTGCTTTTGTAATACAGAAATAATTGGAATATGCCTTACAAAATTGTATGCTAATTCCCTGGAGATACACGGCAAACTTTCCATTTCTGAAGCACTGTCAATTCATTAAAGCAAGTCTAGGATATTTTTTTTTTACTTCTCAAAGAAAACCTGTCTTTCGACTGTTTCTGTGACCTTTCATTGCCCTCCAAACATCTCCTTTCTTGATCCATGAAGCAGCAACAATATATCTACTTTAAAACATTCTTAATGATAAGCTAACTCCATGCATGCTCAGTAAGGTCACTGTTTTTCCCTTTTGAAAGGCATTTTTGAGGAGCAGTATTTCAGCCCCTGCAGTCAGACTCTTTTCAAATTAAAAATGAATGGGAGGTGAGGACAACCATTTGCTTTCAAGATAAGCAAGATTGATTATTTTCAACTTATATGAGCTATTTGAAATGTAGGAATGGTTAGGGTCAACTATTTCTCTTACCCAGACTTACTCAAATTTGGAACACACCAGGATCAGACAGTACGAAGCCCAGTTTCAAAGTTATAATGTTTTTTTGGGATTCACCCATTTTTAAGATTTCATCTGTATATATTATTAATATCAAAAAACAACATATGGGTAATCTGTCTTATTACTTTATACTGTTTTAACTGTCTTGAAATGTTTTAATTGCTTCCACTTATTTTAAATATTACATGTACGTATTTTAATGGGTCAGAGACCGCAAAATAAAGATTGATTGAATTTTGTGATTTTGTGTAGATTGTTGATTTGCTCTGGTGAACAATGACAGTTTCCTTTGTTCCTGTGTCTTATCAACCAGACCGTCTCTCCCACCTCAATTTGTAGTCCTGAAGGCTATCCTTCACCTATAGCCAGGATTACATGTCAGTAGAATAAAAACAGAGCAGTGTAGTTGAGTTAAATTTCTCTCCTCCACCCACCAATTCTCATTTGAACAACAGGGGCTGTGGCTTGAATGCTAGAACCACCAGTGTGTGGGGGGGGGATCACTTTGAGGGGAATTTGCCCTCAGAAAGACTAGGCTAAAGAGAAGAGTACAAGCGTATGTTGTTTTCAGTTGCCCTAAGCACTGTGACTGCAGTGGGAGGCAAGAATATACATTCCACTGCTTTTATAAATGCTTTTGTGATACACAATAATTGGTTATTTGGATCCAGACATTAGCTTTTTCTTTTATTACTGTATATTTGCTGATATTAAATAGTGCCTAGGCATCATAGATAGGAAGTAGTTTTTCTATACTATTCACCTTGTTTTGCAGAGGTGGGAAAAATAGAACAAACTCTTGTGGTACTTAAATTCCTTTTTTTTTAAAGGTGTTGCTATAGTTATTATAGTTGCTATAGTTATTGTAGAAGAGGGGTGCATGGGGAAAATAAATCAGCATGTATACTACTTCTGTGAGAATTGAAGTAGTTTGAATTGCGTCAGATAAAATTTGGGAGAGAGAAAAAGCTACTGTTGAAACAAATTACATGCCCCTTATCACTGAAAATTCATTGAATTATAAATGTACACTGTTTCCCCGAAAATAAGACCTAACTTGATAATTAGCCCTGGTGTGATTTTTCAGAGTGTTTGTAATACAAGCACTACCCCCAAAATAAGCTCCAGTTAAGTGAAACCCCGCCCTCCGCCATTGTGCAGCAACCAGAAGAAGATATGACTATAAAATTAAATATCCCCTGAAAATAAGCCCTTGTGTGTGTTTTTAGAGCAAAAATTAATGTAAGACCCTGTCTTATTTTTGGAGAAACACGGTAACTGCTGATCTGAGTCAAAGGACGAGACATTTCATTCAGCAGCCCAACTGTAACTTATTTAAACATAACCTTTTCAAATTACCTGATGCTTTTATGGGATTCTTGGTGTTTTTATGTACTATTGGACTGGCTGCATTAAACCTTTTCTTTCTTCTTAATCTGCTATTTTTCTCTCAGTGCTAAAACACTCTGCACATTTGTTTGAATAATGCTTACTGATTGGCAGGGATTTTTAAAAAAAGCTTCTCCAAAGACTTACATGCATTCCTTAGCATTTTTTTTAACTCTCCACCTGACTTTGAGCAGCATCTCCCCTGCCCCAGTTCTAATTCTCAAACTGTTTTTGAAACTTTATTCTATACTTGAGAGATGAACAGCATAGAAATTGGGGAGAGTGAGAAAGAAGACCATCATCTGAAATAAATTAGCTAGAAATTCCATCAAATGTTGCAAGTATGAAAGGAATAGAACATAAGATAGTGTGTTGAAAAGACCAGAGGAAGACAGACAGACAGACAGACAGACAGACAGACAGACAGATTATGGCAAAAATTCATAGTACTGTATTTTAAAAGTCCCTTAAACTGTTTTTATTCCATATTATCAGTTCTAATTGTCTGGGTTCTGATCCTTTTACTTTAAAGTGACTTTATAGAAAAAAGGGATACCTGGAAGGCTATGGTGGACGATTGGTGGGTGAATGGAAGGTGACCAGTGAGGAAAGTCAGATTCAGAATCTATTTCATTCTTGTTTTATATTGTTCAGTCTGTAAGCCGCCCAGAGTAGATTTGTTTGAATCTAGATGGGCGCAGGGTAAAAGCCGAATAAATAAATTACCGTATTTTTCGCACTATAAGACACACTTTTTTCCACAAAACAGGGAGGTGGAAAGTCTGTGCGTCTTATGGAGCGAAGAAAACATATTATTTTTTCCTGTTTTCTTCTCCTAAAAATTTGGTGCGTCTTATGGAGAGGTGCATCTTATGGAGCGAAAAATACGGTAAATAAATATCTCTTACTTGATCCAGCAGTACTGTATTAGTAAAGGTGTACACTTCAAGTGTTGTTTAGGTAGAGTTGGGAGGTGAGACTTTGCAGACGACTAACCAAAACCAAGTGGATTTTCTGGAGAATCACTGTCTCAATTAATGTATGTTATCTGAATCCTGTATCTTCTTATTTCACTATCATAAATTTGCAAAAAGATTGTAGAGCTGATGCAGACTTCCAGTACAAGTTAGGAACCGAATCAAGTGGTTCTGATTTTTTTTTGTCTTTCATTTTTGTTTCAGCTTTGTGTACATGATGTAGATGCCTTATCAGGCAAGTGAATTCATTGCATCACTGCAGGTGATAGGCTAGGCAGTATGTACAGATATTTTTTCACCTTAAATTCCTGCCATATGCCCTTATTTTCTTTTTCTTTCCCCTAAGGCTCAAAAACTAATCAAAATCCTTGTTTAATCAAGTGCATGAAAAACTTTTTTTATTAATATAGCCCAAATACAATCTCACTTTATTGATATGTTTGAGTCAGAGCAGTGTCATTGATGAAATTGTTTGAAAAACAGAGGTAAATTGTAATTGTAATTTTAAAAGCGAAATTGGATGTAATATACAGGAAATAGGAATTCACATGATGTTTAAAATAAAAAGAAGGAAATAGTTCAGAGGAAAACAAAAACTTTTAAGAAATGAAATACAATAATCTGGAGGCAAAATCCTTCTGCGTTGGACAGACATGAACATGGCAAGGAGATTTTTGCTCAGAAGTCTTTATATGTATCAGGAAAACTGTTTCTTGCTCTGTGATAAAATACCAAATCTGCTCAGAAATCCCTCTTTGAACCTACTCTGCCCCATTTCTGGGTCTGAAATCTTTTCCTGTTCAGGATTTGCATTATCCAAAACATCTTAGGGGTGCACTGGTTTGGCAAGGCTGAACTAGTCAATCATTAAAGTGTGTATCCATATTGTATAAATGGTGTGGGAAATTCACGTTTTGACTCCCTTTGCATGGGGAAAAAAACCAAGCCAAAAAAATACAAGTGTGGAAATATATCCAAAAGAAAGGTTTCAGCTATGTGTTTGGCTTTAGAATTTGAGAGCTTGTCAGGTTAATTAGGTTGACTAAATATCTGTGAAGATTCTCAGTCATCCAGGTGTGGTTATCTGGAAGCTGAGTCATGGCAGTCTGAAGAAGCTGCTTGGATGAGTAGCGAAACGTTTCAGCCTAACAAGAAATAAGTCCAGTTGCCATAACTCAGCTTCCAGGTACGTTGACTAAACTTAAGAAATCTTGTCAATCCCATCACATCTATCAATAAGGATAATTAGATAATATTCTACATACAAATGTGTCTCTCAACAAAGAAATAGCAGGGGCTGGCATCAAAGCAACATATGCAACCTCATAATCTGTTCAGTTCCTGTCTCTTAGCCTCTCCACTAAAATTAAGCTCATGCTGTTTGTTTTCCCATACTTACCCTTTATGCTGTTGCATTCACAAAAATTGGTGTTTGAAGAATATAATGTAATGTGGCATCCTGTTGAAGAGAAATCTGTGCCTGGAGGTAGCTTCCACGAGAAACCAAGTTATAAGACAAACAAGATAGAAATACTCATTCATTATTCCTTCTTCCTCTTCCACACAGCTGAAGTATACATAGGAATTGGAAAACCAGCAGAAGCCACTGCATGTACTCAGGAAGCTGCTAATCTATTTCCAATGTCTCACAATGTTCTCTACATGAGAGGTCAGGTGGCAGAACTTCGGGGAAATATTGATGAAGCCAGACGTTGGTATGAAGAGGCCTTATCTATCAGCCCTACACATGTCAAAAGTATGCAGAGACTGGTAAGTTCAGTTTACGCATTATAATGCATGGGAAATGTTTTAAATACTCAAGAGTTCATCAAATAATAGATTTTGTTTAGCAGAGTGCAAAACAGTGTGCTTTTGTATTACAACTCCCAGAATTCCCCAAGTAGCATGACCATGTGCTACGCCACCTGGGGGCATTCTAGGAGGCATAGTCCAAAAACTCACATCTACACACATCTGGTTCTTTTATTATTACCAGTCTTACTAGTACTGCTGTACTTGTCCTGAGATAGGCAGATAATCAAAAGTATTTGGCATTGATGTATCATGTATTAGTCTCCAAAGGATAGGGTACCACCTGTATTGGCATCATCATGACAGTTTTTCAAAAAGAAAGAATTTGGAATGTCAGGTAGATACAGTATTGGTAAAAATAAAATGATACACCTTATTGGAAGTGCTCTTGTGTTGCAGATTAGTACTAAAGAGGAAATATTCCCCAGTGTGTTGTCAGGAGGTGAGGCTGAGGAGCCTGACACCGAGAGAGGCCCGGAAGGAAAGAACTAGAAACCGGGCCTTCTCGGCGGTGGCTCCTCGCCTCTGGAACAATCTTCCTCCAGTGATTTGTGCGGCCCCTTCGCTGGGTATTTTCAAAAACCAACTGAAAACATGGATGTTTGTACTGGCCTTCCCTCCAGTCAACCCTTGATTACCTTTTCCTTCTCTTCCTCTGCCATCTTGTATAATCTGTTAATTTACTCGTGGATGTCAAAAATGTTGTGTATATTTGTCTGTTTTTATTTAAGTATCTGGAAGCCGCCTAGAGTGGTCCTTGGACCAGATAGGCAGGGTATGTATGTATGTATGTATGTATGTATGTATGTATGTATGTATGTATGTATGTATG